TAAAATGTGAAATTACCACAGGACTGCTTTTGAGGGAGATATGGACCATGTGTTATAGCAACCATTCGTCAGGCAAGCTGGAGTACAGACATCTGGAGGACCTTTCGAGATGGCAAGCCCCTACTCAAATTCCAAAAACCGCTGTAAGTGTTTCACCTATTACAGAATTTGCATCACAAATAATAAGCTAAAAAGAGTTTTGGGCCATTTCAATGCCCAATAATGTCAGTAAGGGCTGACAGAATTGCCTACTGAAATCGTTTCTGCATTTAAACCCTCCGCTGAGAAGTGGGGTATGGTAAAACAACTCCGTTTTACCAAAAATCCACCCACAATAAAAAATGGTCGCATATTGTTGAAGTGTCAAATTATGATAGAGAGAACCGTTATTAAAAACTAGCTTGCACTGGCCAAGCACTTTAATTCATTTGCCCTCTGTGTCACACATATGTGACAAGTGGCCCTTATCAGTTTATGGTTGCATCAAACAGCGGACTAAGGATGGTGGTTGGGTTTAAGACAACGCAACAGATGTAAAATATTCTCGATTTGAGGGATATATTTTTACTGGAGCAATAAATCGTCCAGATTGCTGACATTGAATTTCCTCAGGGGCCCCAGAGTAACAAATGTGTTGGGTGTAAATGGTAACGAATATGATCTCTACTCAAAGAGGTTTAAGTTCCCATTTAATAACAAAGATTAGAGAATAGAATTCCAATCACCATAGGACATAGCATTAAGTACTACGATTCCGCTACTTGGCACAAATTTAGATGAATTAAGGGTATTTTCAGTCTACTTTAAACCATGCAGTAGAATTGTCAGTAGTGAAACTCTCAGCAGCCATCAAGCTAGCTAGCTCTTCATCTTCCTTGAAAAAGCATATTGATATTTCGAGCTTTACTTCACCTCAGTTAGGAAAATCAAACCATAATTAACCAGAATTTATTGAGAGAAAACTAAAAAGCACTTGTCGCTTTTATTAAAGGCTTTAATTACAGTTTGCCAAAGCAACCTAAGACTTCCCCGAAGCCATAAGAAGCCAAAGCAGTGCGGGCGAATATGTTACTGACTTACAGGAGAATTGGAGGACTATTCGGATGACTCGAGGGCTATGGAGCAGGATGGACGAAAAAACTGTGGTGCTTACGTAGTTAATCACAATTCAACAAAATGTCAGGTCAATAAACTCAGTCGCTACTTTACAGCTTCTAAAATGCACTTTGAGCACTGTGCTGGTATTTTTCGGTTAATCATATTTCTGCTAGTTCCATGTAATTGACAATTTCTTCTGCCTCCACCGAAATGCTTATTTACGTTTACATTAAACAATATTTTTAAAAAAAGCACGTAGCATTCTTCTTGCTGGTATCCTGACAAAAAATCCCCTCTTTACAAAATAACCGAAAATTGCAATTTTTTCTGTGCAAATATTCATTTTTTAGATTCACCGGACTAGCACACTATAATGGTTCCTCTAAGACTTTAATAAACATCTCATTTGAGTATTTTAATGCATAAGTAGAGTACCAAAACTACTCGTTTCTAGGGCTGCAATTGTTTGGTTCTTACGTAATACGATGGTGGTTTATCCC